TATGGTTAATATGATTCTTACTCCTGCTCTTACTTCTGCACCTTCTTATGGCTATGTCGGCGACGACGGCTGCACCCACGACCACTGTTGCCGCTACCGCTACCACGACCAATGCCACACCAACGACAACTACTACTAGCACTACTGCTTCTACTTACTACTTCAACACTACAACAACACTACTACAACACTACTACACCGCTACTACTGCTACTGCTGCTGCTGCTACTACTACTACTACTACTACTACTACTACTACTACTACTACTACTACTACTACTACTACTGCAACTGCAACTGCAACTGCAACTGCAACCGCAACTACTACAACGACTACTTCCACTATACCTGCTACTTGTACCTACAACCTAGTACCTACCACCTGCCACCTCCAGGTACCACGTACTACCGCTCCCGCTCTCGCTCCCGCTCTCGCTCCTGCTGCTGCTGCTGCTTCTGCCTCCACTGCTGCTGTCTCCTCTGCTTCCGCTGCTGCTGCTAGTGTCTCAGTGGCAGCACCAACGGCTCGGCTCGAAGAAGGGTGTGGCGATGCTGACTGCCTTAAGTCGTTCATCAGACATCACGGTTTAGCTTCCTCAATCATAGCCTTTCAGGCGTCTCGTGTTCTCAGTGTTTCGTGTGAGACGAGAGATTCATCAAGAAACGGCGACCCGGGTCAATCGGAGGCCTGTCAGTCATGCTGTCAGTTGGTTGATAGAAAAAGTAGTCTTTACGTCTGTTTTCGCTGAACCTCCGGCAGCAATTTCATACATGGTTCACGTGCACCTGCGTGCATAGCCCCGCGAATCGCCATCTTAGGCAGAGGGTCCATGCGGCCCAGGGCAGACTGTTGCCCTTGATCTAAAAACTTAGCTGGTGCATTCACGCATCTTCAGCTGAAATGTCGCTACTGTGTGAATTGGCCCTAGGCAGGACGCAGGGAAGGCTCGCAAATGAAACGACCGGTGCCATGGCTTCCGATCTTAGGACGACCCGTGGCGCTAGGGGCGGGCCTGCTCTTCCTAGGGAGCCGGCATCCTGCGCTGACTGCCTTGCTCTGATGTTCGCGCGTCACTGTGGCGGTTCGTAGAGGATGTAGCGCCGTCGTCGTCGCATGAAAGCATTGTTCATTGAGCAGTTCCTTCTTCTCTTTCTTGCTGCCGTCTTGACAGTCCACTGACGGTGCTGCCGTGCCACGATTCTTGTCGCTGCTTGGGCTTGCGGTGATGTCAGTGGTGATGTCGTGATCTTTGCTCCCTGTGGTTGATAATTTGCCACGATAGTCAATGTTTGGTAGTATTCTTCTTCGGGTGGCTGTGGTTGTTGCAATTGCTGCTGCTTCTGAAGATGATGATCGTGACGATGACGATGATGGTGGTGTCATTGCAATGCTTGTGCTGCTTCTACTGGTGTTGGTGATGATGAAGAAGAAGATGATGATGGTGATGGCCACCACGATGCCGTCGTCGCTGCTGTTGGTCCTGGCAGTGGTCCTGATAGTGGTGGCCAGTTCCCCATTTAACGAGCGCCCACAGGACATGCCTATTTGGGCAGCCCCTCCAAGTGGCGGCCCAAGCCTAAACCTCAAACATGAGAGGAACTCCGCTTCTCGGGATCCTTGCGAGTCGAAAAAGGGCCGTTCAAAAAAAAAAAAACATGAGAGGTCATTGCGGAGCTTTCTCAATAATGGACGTGTGACTACGCCGTGTGCTGCCATGAACTGAAGTTTTCGTTTGGAAGTCAGCGCTGCCGGATTTCCCAAGCGATGGGCACCGTCCCTTGATCGACTGGGCTCTGCCAAGGAAGAGGGTTTAGGTACTTTGGAGCTGCTACGACAACTCCGGCTCCGTGAAGTTGTAAAGGGCACTCAGGTGTGTTCAGAGCAACTCGGGTTTCGAGTGAAAGCTGAACTCGCCGAGATAGTCGTTATGGACCAGACAAGCAAGTCGAGCTCCTGCTGAGCTCCCTGTCCCGTCGCAGGTCTGGGTCAAGGAAGCGAAGTTTTAGCTTGGAGGCTGTGAGCTGTAGTGGTCTTTGTCGAATGTGGTTCTTCATTCAGGTGACTCTGACCACGCGAGGGTTCAAAAATCACGACATTAGCATGTACTTCCTTCAAAAGGCAGAGCCCAAGTGGCAGAGGCTCCCTTGTCACAAGATGTGGACAGGGAAGGAAGCTGATTGCCGAGGCTTTGTTGCAGGTCTGAAGGGGCTTCGGGCCTGGTGTGCGAGGTTCCCAGTCCTAGAGTGTCGTGGCAATGTGGGAAGTTTCCGAAAAATAGGGGTACCTTATATTGGGTCCTGATTATAAGGATCCTACTACTTAGGGTACTATATTGGGGTCCCCCTATTTTCGGAGACTCCCAAGTCCGACTCTATAGTGAATCGAGCTTGGCCGTGTCTAAAGACTCCACAAGATCTTGAGCAACAAGCCCGACGAATTCATTACCACAAGGTGCACGCCTGTGAGACCTACTGGGTGCCGAGCATCCGCAGTGACTTCCATATGTTTGATTCCGCTTTCTCGTTTTGTTCTGTAATGCCTTTACCATGTCAAGATGACCGCAAGGAGACGACTGGGCAGGTACTGCCCCGGTTTTTGTGGCCCATTGTACTATGATTATAGTAAGGAACCCGGAAAGTAGTGCAGGCAATTATTAAGGCGCCTGTAGTAACTTTAGTACCGCTCTTTTTTGCGGATGTCCGGCAGACAGCCGTCTCATGTGCCTGCCAAGTGGACTAGCTTTGGCCGAGCCTGCGAAGGCCTTTACTTCCTGTGCGTACTATCTCAATGCACCAGAAAGAAGCGCAGGCATCTCTCAGGCACTGGTGTCTCGCCATGATCGCGGCATGCCGATGATAATCCTGGCCCAAAGCCCTGTCAGCGAATTCGGTAATACAGAGGAGGCCTGATTACTTGGAACAGGATTTCGGGGCATATTTGTACTATACTTATAACGAGGAGTATAAGGGGACGCTATCTTTAGTTATTCCGACCCTGTATCAGACGTTTGCGGGCCGTTGCAGAGTGCAGGCTTTGCATCAAGCCCGGTTCTTGTAGTAGCCGCCTTAGCCACCGAGTTCCCAAAACCAATGTGCGGCGTTAAGCCATAATCCGCCAATGGTGATATCCCTCATCACGGCAAGTCGTAGTGCATGCGAAGTATAAGCGGAATGCCACACGGAGTCAAGTAGCACTCGGAACCCCTTCGCACGCCGCTGTTTCCGCAGCTGCTGACTCCGCTGCCATAGGTGTCGCAAGTCAAAGCAGTGGCATGTTCCGATTGCATGTTTTCTGTCGACACTTTTTGCATCCCAAGTTTTGCCACCAAAGAGCAACTACATGTCAGCTTAAAGCACAGCAAACACGAAGACGACAGCTGCCGTGCAAATCGAGAGAGGGCCAGGCACTGGGGTTCAAGCTTTTGCAGGGCAAAGCACATCAGCATTGAGACCTCTTGATGGAGCTCAGTAACCCTGTTGCCATAGCCGTTTTCGCACAAGCAACTGTCCTTTTTTTGGCCTTCCAGCGTTTCGTCGTTTCGCTGGTGTTAATGAAGCAGCTATTTAAGCCGGCATTCCTTGGTGGCGACATTCCTTTCTCGATCGGACTCTCCTGCCGTTTCTGAGACTGGCAGGATCTTTCCAGGACTTCCATGCGATGTGGTGACTTTGACCGCCCTGAGACCTGCGGGGAGGAAGATAGCTGTCAATCTCTTCCCCTCTCCACGCGATTTTCACAAGACCTTCTGAGGCTCCGCACAGTCAACAGCAACATCCAAACGCCAAGTATCATGCGAGCAGTATCTAGCAAAGCAGCTGCATCAGATATTAGGCCTTTGACGATGTGACGAGCCATATTCGACCAATCTACCTGGATAAATGCAGACCACCTCTTGCTGATGGCGGCAACTGAGTATCACCGTGTATCACCGTGCTGCACGGTGATACTCAGTTGTCGCCATCAGCAAGAGGTGGTCTGCATTTATGCAAGGTGATGGAGTGGGCATTCATCCTCCTTCCGGGTAAGGCTACATGAGTTTGCATGTAGAGTAGTACCAGGGGGGACTATTCGGGTCTTTCCCTACCCGTTTGCCTTGGAGGCAAACGGGAAGTGCAGGCACTACTGAATCCTGCCTTTGCAGGCCTACAAGTTTGCCTCCAACCCCGAAATGCCCTGATGGTGTTCCACTCTATCTCGAGCTTGCCGCGTCGATCCCGCTGGCTATGACCAAGTGTAGTATCTGTTCTTATCAGTGTGACTGATATCTCTCCAACTCCAACTGGAGACTTGCTTGTCGCTGGGGAAGTGCCTTCATGAGCTCACTCAGAAGCCTTCACGTGTTGCACTGCCCGAGGAGTCCGGAGCTCTGTCCACTCGGTAGACAAAGCCACATCAAGCAGTGCTTGCAGCTGGCCCTGTGTCTTCTGGAAGAGCATGTGCCAGAAGACCTCGAGTTGTACCAGTACACAACTTACGTCGAACTGATTCAGAAGTTCATCGACGTCGGATGGCCGATCTTGAGAGTGAGACTCATGTTGGAGCCTGCATCTACTGCCTTGCACCTTGACGACGTGGCTCCCCCGGAGTAGCAGTACGATTCGTGCGACCACCCGACACATCCGTTGGGACTGGGATCTTCTGCTTCCAAGAACTTGGCTAGATCCGCGGCCCTGAGCAGAGCTTCCAAGACCCATGCGATCCTTGATGCCCACGAAGACGGCACTTCCGTGGACCTTACCATCCAGAAGCTGCATGAGGTTTGGCATCCCATCTGCCTCAGAGCAACTTTTGGGCTTCCAACTTTGCTTCGCACAAGCAGACCATGCCTGTCGACTTCGGCTTCGCCGTTGGCGCCACGGCCAAGCTATCACGGGCCTGAAATGGCCTGGGCGGCGGTATCAGCCGCGGTTAGGAAGGATGTGGACATCGCATTTGCACTAATCGGTTCCTTGAACTTTCCGAAGCCAGATCCACTCTTCTGTCCTTTGGGAGTCACCGT